ACTAATAATAAAGTGTAATGTTCCTAAATTCTTGACTTTTATAGTAGATTACACATACGTGTAATTTCCGCTCGTATAGTTATGAGATACATATTCGTTATCTTTACCACATTGGTAACATTTTACACTTCTTTTTTCATTTTTGCCCGCAACAGTCATCCAAATTCCGCTTTCTCCTTTTAACACTTTTGCAATTTTATCTTTATCATGAATTTTTCTTTCAATAATTGTATAGATAAAATCGGAGAAGCAAATTTTTCTTCCACATTCGCAATATACTTCTCCAGATTTGAACGTTCCTTTTAAACTTTTTTTATCTGCATTTAACAACTTAGCAATCAAACTAATTTCCACTTCGTTGTCTTCCTTCATATTCTCATCAGTCATACTTTTCACATATTCAAAGGCATTCTCATCAACTCTGTAAGTTTTTGTATATGATTTTCTGTTATCTATTAATTCTTTTAGTTGGATACTATTTAAGGTTTCAATAGCAAGTGAAGAAGACATCGTTGAAATTCAAACTAAAATAATCACAAAATTTTTGGAGTCAATATTTGCTAAGTAAAACAGAAAAATTAACTTCCTTTAAATAAATACAAATAAATTATCCTAAAATTATTTACTTACGAAAAGTGTTTATTTTTTGGCTCTTTTAAAAAAAAGTATTCGCGAAAATACAAACGGTTGAGAAAATTTCAAATTTTCAAAAAATTCAATTTTTTATATAGAAATAATGCGCAACATTTCTCAGAAAAAAAAAAAAAATTCTCACCATATGTATGGTGCTGTACTTGCGAAATGGCGTTATTTGTGGGAAATACCGATATATTATAATTTAAAGAAAGCTAATAATTAATTTGGCAGAGGATTGTTAAAAATAAAATTATGATTCACATTCTGTTAAATTAATTTCAATTGTAATTTTGCACAATACGGTGATTTGAAAAAATCCAAAAAAATCTCAAATTTCTCATGATGCAATGGATATTGAACTTCAGCAACGATGAAATGCACCCGTACATCAATGCTTTATTGTGATAATTTATAAAATGCATTGACTCCAAAGAGAGATTATGGTCTTTAGATTTCCTGATCCGTATGTCGTTAGCCCATGAAAGTGCATTTCCAGATAATGAAACAAAGAATAATTTTATAAATAAAAATGTAATAATTTGCCTTATAAAAACACTTATTGGATGCACGCCATTTAGCCGACATCACGTAGGGTTAATGTTAGTATTTGATTAGTTGTAGGCATATCAATATCACTGTATTTTTTTAAATGGCATGTAGATTATGGGAGTATACTTTTGGTTGATGTAAATCAATTGCCCGGGTAACTTATTTATCTGTTATACACTTTAGAGTACTTTTTGAGGACGTAACGTTTCACTAATAAAAGCCACCGTCATTCTTAGCTTTGAACGAACTTTATTTTCACTATACAAAAAGAATCTAAAAAGTTTCTGTCTCCTGATCTACTTTATTTAGAAGGCAAAATATACATAGCGCCTATTGGACCGCTGAATGTTTTCGACTTAAACTACTTTATAATGTTGGATTTAAATATATT